CCCTCCTCAGTCTCGTCCGCCGGGCTCCCTTCCCACGACCCCCTTCCAACGCCGCGTGTCAGCCCAACTCCCTCCCTCCCTCCCCCACGATCCCCTTCCCCAGGTGAGGAGGAGGAGGGGGAGGAGGAGGCTGCAGGTGAGGCGGGCGAGGCCGAGAGCCGGGCTCACCTTGGCGAAGTACAGCATCCACAGCTCGTAGAGCCGCTCCTTGGAAGCCATCGCGGAGCGCGCTCTCCCAGCCAGGCTCGCCCGCCGCGCTCGGTCGCTCTAACCCCGGTCGGGCAGCGCTGCCGGCTGCCCTCCCTTATCCATGCCTCGGCTCCCGGATTCGGGCTGCGCTGCCCTCCGGAGCTGCTGGCCAGCCCCGCTCGCTCCTCCTCCTCCGCCGCCTGATTCGCAGCCCGGCCGGGCTCCGGGGAGGCGCAGCGGGCGGAGCGCAGGTGCGCCCCTCGACCGACCCGCAGCTCCGCCCGCGTTCACACGACCCTCCTCCGACGGGGAGATTGCCCTGCGCGCAGGTGCCTTTGTTTCCCCGGGAGAACGCGTGACGCGAAGGCGAGGGGCGCAGGGAGGCGCCTTCCGGGTTCCACCTGTTGTGGGAATGCAGTTATCCGGGGTTTGGGTTAGGAGGAGGCTGGGAAGAACGGGGTCCCCATTACGGAAACACCATAAGGTGATTTTTAAAAATGTTTTTTACAGTTAGGAGCATAAGGTGTTGTGTGAAAGGTTGAATCTTCCGGGTTTCACTTCTTGTGTGTATGCAACTCTTTGGGTGTGCAGCTATGAGAGGGAGTCCCATTATGGAAATACGGTAATGTTGCTTCAAGCTTGCAAATGCCCGTCATTAATTGTTTACCAGGCATTGTGTGAAAGGAGGAATCTTCCAGATTCCACTGGTTTGTGTGAATGCAACTCCCTGAGTATGCTGGTTTGCAATAGGAGGACAAGGACCCCCATTATGGAAATACTGTAAGGTTTCCGTTTGCAAACACAGTCATGAATTTTTTAGGGTTTTTGAGAGTTAGGGGGCCTAAAGTATTGTGAAAGGATGAACCTTCCTGGTTCCACTGGTTTGTGTGAATACAACTCCCTGAGTGCGTAGGCTTGGGATAGGAGGACAATTCCCCATTATGGAAATACTGTGATGTTTTAGTCTTGCAAATACAGTTATTAACCATTTAAGAGTTAGGGGGCAAAGGACATTGTGTGATAGGATGAATCATCTGGGTTCCATTTGCTGTGTGAAGGCAACTATGAAGAGATGCAGGTGGTACCCTGGTTTCTCAGCACCTGGCAGGGTTTCAGGCTCGGAAATGCAGCCATTAATCTTTGAAGGGTTAGGGGATCACGCTTGCTGGACCCCACTTTGTTCACACAAGCTTTCTCTCCGAGGGGGGCTGCCACCTTCCACGCAGGTGCTTTTTTGTTTGCCTGGGAGAACACGCGACACAAAGAGGCAGGGCGTTGTGCAAAGGGAGACATCTTTCAGGTTCCATCTGTTGTGTGAATGCAACTATCCAGGGGTGCAGGCCTAGGAGGACCCCGATTTCTCAACACTTGGCAAGGTTTCAGGCTTAGAATTAAATTTCATATGGTTTATAACTAGAAGTATGCCAATATAATCAACAGGATTATAAATACGCTAACGTAAAGATAAGCTTGATTAAAATTATTCTGTTGTACCCTTATTATTGTTATTAGTATATGTTATCATTTCCTCCCCTCACTTTTCTTTCGTAGAGGATATGCCCTGTCAATACGCTATTCAAAATGTTTACATATGGATAATAATAATAAAAAAGAATTAAACTTTGAAGGGATGGGGTTAGAGATGCACTCAACTGAACTCTGCTGTGTCTATTTACAAGACCAGAGGTCTCCAAACTTGGCAAGTTTAAGACTGGCTGGAGAATTCTGGGCGTTGAAGTGCACAAGTTTTAAAGTTGCCAAGTTTGTGACCCCTTCTCTGAGAGTGTCTGTGGAGAGAGATTTTCAGTCATCCAATTTGTGGTTATCCCAAAGGTGCTTTTTTTAAATTTTTCTTTGAAGACATTTCACTCCTCGTCTAAGGAGCTTCTTCACTTATGACTGTAGGGTGGGGAATGGTCTTCTCCCAGAGATGCCCCTCTCCACTCAGGTGCCTTTGTTGTCCCTCTCTGGCTGAAAGACCCCAGGACAGAGAAGCCTAGAGCGTTTTGCGAAGGGATCCATCTTCCAGGTTCCACCTGTTGTGTGAATGCAACTCCCTGGGATTGCAAGTTTGGGCTAGGAAGACAGGGACTCCCATGATGGAAATGATATAAACATTCAGACTTTCAAACATAGCCATGAATCTTTCAGGGTTAGGGTTAAGATTGGGCTGCACCTACCACACTCCACTTTGTCCGTCCATACGACTGTCCTCTCCAAGCGATAGTCCTCTCTGCTGAAGTGACTTTGTTTTCCTGGCTAGGTGAACGCCCAACACAGGTCATTGTGTGAATCGTGGAATCATATGCCTGGAAGGGGCCTTGGAGGTCCTCTAGTCCAACCCACGCTCGAGCAGAAGAGCTTATATCATCCCAGTCAAGTAGTTATCCAATCTTTTCTTGAAAACCTCCAGCGATGGATCGCCCACAATTCTGGAAGGCAGGCTGTTCCATTAATTCATCCCATCTTCTGGGTTCTGTCTGTTGTGTGGATGCAACTATTTGAGGGTGCAGGGTTGGCCTAGGAGGAGAGGGACCCCAGTTTTTCAGCACCTGGAAGGGTCGGGGTGGGGAAGCTGGAAACGGGTGGCCTTCCGCAGGCTTTCCTGAGAAGGGAATTGAAACGTCAAGGAAGACATGTAGAAATGCCGGTGTTCTCAATTGACGGCCACAACTGAGCCCAAAATTTCCACCGCTAAACCAAGACACTTATTAACCGGGTTTTGCCCCACCTTACGACCTTTCTTACCACGGTTAAGTGAATCACGGCAGTTTTGAAGTTAGTAACACGGTTGTTGCACAAATTTGACTTATTTGAACTAAATATATTTTGCATTTTGAAGGGGGTTCAAGATTTAACATGGATTTCACTTAGGACCACAATGGAAGGATTTTCTGTTGCTAAACTAGGCAGTTGTGGAAATGAGTCACACTCAATTTTTAATCTTTTTTTTTTCTCCCATAGTGGTTAAGTGAATACATTGGTTGTTAAGTGAATCTGGCTTTTCCACTGACGTTTGCTAGTAGGAAGGTCGCAAAAGGGGATCGCGTGACCCTGGGACACTGCAGTCGTCGTAAATATGAGCCAATTGCCAAGCCTCCAAATTTTACTCACGTGGAGCGGCTGCAACGGTTGTGTGAAAAAAGATCATAATTTACTTTTTTCAGTGCTGGTATAACTTTGAATGGTCCCTAAACAGACCGTTGTAAGTCAAGGACTATCTGTACATGGCATGGAAGTAGGGGGAAATCCTAAGGTGTTCCTGGTAAGACAATTAGAACTGTGTCTTTCACAATTGGCAGCTTTAAAATGGATGGACTTCAACTCCCACAATCCCCCAGCCAGCATGGCTGGCTGGGGAATTCTGGGAATTGAAGTGCACCCATCTTAAACTGGCCAAGCTGTAAAGAAACATCGAGTCTTAGTCTCTGTTCCGCAGCTATAACCCATTCTACAGCCTTCCTTGCACTCTGCATATGCTCACAGGACTCTTCCAACGACTCATTCTGAACCTGCAAACTTTCACGCCTGGAGCGATGCGCTCGACGCTCAGCTGGCTGCCCCTGGCGTCATCGATCGGCGACTCTGCTCTCGTTCGGAGCGGCCAGCACGCGCTTGTGTTCCTCCGACGCGCGTGCGCAGTAGGCCCGAAGATGGCGACCGAGGCCGGCGGTTTGCAGGAAGAGGCGCTGCGGCGAAGGGAGCGACTGAAGGCGTTGAGGGAACGTACTGGGGCGGGCAGGAAGGTAAGGCTGGCTCGGAGGGTCGGGAAGCGGCTGTGGAGGCTCGTCCAGTCTGAAGAGGAAGGCCCGAAGCGGGAACTGGCCCTCTAGTGACGTCACTGTGACGCCACTCGCGCATGCGTATTGTCAAACGGGGACTACAAAGCCCATCCCCGTGGCAGGGTCGCCACCCCGTGTTCCTTGTGCTATGCCCGCCATTTGCATTCTCTTTGGACCGGGAAAGCGATACCGGGCCCGAGGTTGGGGACTACAAAACCCATCGACCCCTTGCCTGTACTGTGATGGCTAGCAGCGAGCTCTCCCTTTAGGTTGTGGGTCTCCTTTTATTATTAGGTGTTTTTCACTTAATGGCTGCAGTGATTCGCTTAACAACCACAGCCCAATTTGTGAAAGGAGGCATGATTCACTTAGCAACCGTCTTGCTTAGCAACAGAAACCCTGGTCCCACTTGTGGTTGTAAATTGAGGAATACCTGCAGTTAAGCTAAAAGGTTTTTTTAAACTTCCATCACCTTAAAGTGGGTGGACTTCAACTCCCAGAATCCCCAAGTCACTTATTTTTGCAGTGATATTAATTAATGTTAAGCTAATGCCGCAGTCGTTAAACAAATACAATGGTCTTTAATGATATGTTTTTTGCCAGAAGCAGGTAGTCCTCGACTTAACAACACTTCATTCAGTGATCATTCAAAGCTATGACGCTGAAAGAGTGACTTATGACAGTGGCTGCATCCCCCTGGTCACGTGGTCAAAATTCAACTACTTGGCAACCGACTCGTATTTACAATGGTCGCAGTTGAAACCTTCTGATGATCAAAGTCAATGGGGAAGCCAGATTAACGATCATGTTACTTAACAACTGCCATGATTCACTTAACAACTAGGGTGAGAAAGGTCGTAAAAATGGGGCACAATTGTCTTGCTTAGTGTCAGAAATTTTGGACTCGTGGTTATAAGTCAAGGACTGCATTATTATTTCGACTCTGAAATACTTTATCTACTTTACAGGTAGTCCTCAGCTCATAACTGTTCACAGGGAGGAGGAAGGGGTCAAGCTATTTTCTAAAGTTCCTATAGGCCAGACAAGGAATAATGGATGGAAACTGAACAAGGAGAGATTTAACCTGGAAATAAGGAGAAAATTTCTGACAGTGAGAACAATCAACCCATGGAACAGAAGTTGCCCTCAGAAGTTGTGGGAGCGCCATCAGTTGAGGCTTTCAAGAAGAGATTGGACTGCCATTTGTCAGAAATGGTGTAGGGTCTCCCGCTTGGGCAGGGGGTTGGACTAGATGACCTACAAGGTCCCTTCCAACTCTGATTATCTGTAATCTGTAATTTAGTGACCGAAGTTACAATAGCACTGAAAAAAGCAGCTTATGACTGTTCTTCACACTTACGACTGTTGCAGCGTGCCCATGTGGTCACATAAATCAAAATTCACATGCTTGGCAACCGACTCATAGTTAAGACAGTCGCAGAGATGTCATGTGATCGACTTTTGCCACCTTCCGACGACAAAAATCAGTGGAGAAACCGGATTAACAACCATGTTACTTAACAACGGCAGTGATTCATTTAACAACTGTGGCAAGAAAGGTCACAAAATGGAGCAGAATTCATGGCCTCACTCAGCAGTCGAAATGTTGGGCTCATTTGTGGTTGTAACTTGGAATGCTCACTAAGTGAGGACTACCTGTCATGATGCAAGCCCCTGTCTGTCTTTCTTTTTGTGACCGAATATCAGACTGGAACACCTAAAGGAATGTGGTTTCCTTTTATGGCATTGCAACACAATTTGTCAGTCAAACCTTTCGTTGACATTCATGTCCTGAACAATCTACCATCCCTACTCTGTTTGCGTTTCCTGAAAACGACCCAAAACTTTACTAGGCAAACTGTTAAATAAACCATGAATGGCAGGGAAGGTGGTTTATTTTGACAGGTGAGCCTGAAGGATCTGTTTACACTTAACATGGATAATTTATAGCATTCCGGCCTCCAGATGCGCATGAGAGGGAGGAACATGCTGGCCAATCCTTGAATCTTAGCAACTTTCTTTTTCATGAAAAGACAAAACTGATTCATGCACACAACAAACAATGGCTGGAACATCTGAATTTGGTGCGAATAAATTTTGAATCTCTGTGAAATTTCCCCCTGTATCTTTGAACCAAATGCAGTTTGGATCTTCAGATGGGTTGAAGATTCAGCATGCACTTTAATACAGGTAGTCCTCATCTTATAACCACAATTGAGTCAGGAATTTCCATTGTTAAGTGAAGCAATTCTTAAATGAATCACATCCATTTTTAAACACCCCCCTCCTTTTTTGTGTGTTAACCAGATCACTGCAGTTGTTAATAAATTGGTTGTTAAGGAAATCTGGCTTCCCCCTTGACTTGGCTTGTCAGAAGGTGACAAAAGGGGAATCACCCCTGGAAACTAAATATCAACCGGTTGCCAAATGTCTGAAATTTGATCACGTGACTACGGGAATGCAGCGACGGTTGTAAGTGTGAGGACTGGTCATAAGTCATTTTTCTCAGTTCTGCTGTAACTTCAAATGGTCGCTCAATAAATAGTAAGTTGAAGACTACCAGGCAAGATGGATTCTTGATAATTGAACACATATCCATTTTTCTTGTTTTATTTATTCGTGATGGATATTTTGTCGAGGAGCACCACAGTCACACAGAGGGTAGAGACAAGACCCCACTTAAACAAAGACACCATGTTGGGTTCGGATCCTGTTCAGAGTAGAGCCGTGCTGACGAGTCAGATCAAAACGTGGCGCTTTTTGTGTGTGTGTGTGGGGTCATCTCCGTAACTGCCTGTATCTGGGCGTTCAGCAGCCCATTGGGCTTTCCACTGTGTTGATGTCAAAGTTGTGGCGCAGCTGTCGAGCGAGCGCCAGAGGGGGCTTCCTGGATTTAAGCCTGCCCGTTGATAGAGGAGGAAGATCAGCGTGCACAGGAAGAAGTGGGTTCCTCATAGTTTTGTGGTGCTCCTTCACTGAGGCTTCCTGCCTTTGTAGAGCTGGGGGGGGGGGTTACTATGTGGCTCAAGATGGGGAGCCAGCAAGCAGGAGTAGATTTTATGCCATCAATCTTGCTAGCGTGGCAGCTATTAAGCCAAACGTGTGTGTGTGTGTGTGTGTGTGTGTGTGTGTGTGTGTGTCAGTATTCAGCTGTGGAGCAGACCAGCCCTAGGGCTGATATTCTGGGGGTAGAGGCTGATCGATCCCCTTAGTTTCTGGATGTCCATCCAGACCTTACACCGTCCCAATAGTCTTGATTTTTTCCCCCAACCTAGACCATCCAGTCCTTGAACGGCTGGGTGGACGGGACATTAACATTTGAACCGCTATAAGCCCGTGCATTTGCCATACGCTAAATAAATAAGTGAATATTCATTTGTAACAAGCCTTCACTATTTTTACAAATAACTCAAGGCAAAGAACATATCCAACGTATTTTCCTCCTCCTATTTCCCCCCCGCCCCTAGCAATCCTGTAAGGAGAGTTGGGCTGAAAGAGAAGAAGTGGCCCGAAGTCACCTAGACGGGTTTCAGGTGGGACTAGAATTCCCCGTCTCCTAGTGATTGGCCTGAAGTCACCCATTTGGCTTTCAGGCCTAAATCGGAACTAGAACTCCCCATTTCCTGGTGATTGGCCCAAAGTTACCCAGCCGTCTTTCAGGTGTAAGGCGGGTTTACAACTCACCGCCTCCCACTTTCTAGCCTGCTGCCTTTTAACCACTAGACCAAACTGCCTCCTTCTTTTTCTTCAACCACAGTTTGGAAGTCCTGTTATTTATCAGTTACGAAGTGGAATCACCTTAATATTTTCCTGATCACAGCAACAGCGTTATTTTCCCTTTTGCTGCGAAGCAAAACGGGCTCATTTGTTTTAAACTGCCAGTCCTGGAAGTCTTGTGATCTCGTGGAAGTGAGCTAAGCTCATAACAAGCTCCAGTGTGGGTGCCTGGAGGTTTCTCCTTCTGACAGGGAGGGGTACACAAGCATGAATCCCATGAAAGGGTGCGTGGTTTTCCTTTTTGACTGCAGGCTGCCTCCCCCACCCACTCACCCTGGCACGTAAAATCTGGTGTTATAAAATCCATCTCTGACTGACCTGAAGCCTCTGGAAATTGTGGCTGGCAACAACATGGGAGTTTAGAACACCTGCTAACCCCTCTGTTTCTTGGTCTGGGCGGGCAGTTCTTGACTTACGACCACAGTTTGAGCTGTGGTCGTAAGCCGTAGACTTTCCGTTGCTAAACGACATGACGGTCTTTAAGCGGGTTTTACCCAGTTTTAAAGCCTTGCCACATTTGATAAGTAGACCACTGCAGTTGTTCATTCAGTCACAAGGTTGTGAAGGGAATCTGGCTTCCCCATTGACTTGGCTTGTCAGAAGGTTGCAAAGTGGGGTGGTCAAGTGGTCCCCGGGGACACGACAACCGTCATAACTGTGATTCAGTTGTCAAGCACATAAGTTTCGATCACGTGATCCTGGGCATGCTGTAAGTGTGAAAAAGCACATTTTTCAATGCTATTGTAAGTTTGAACGGTCACTAAAGGAACTCCTTGTAAGTCGAAGACTCCCTGTGATCTCATTTTTCTCCTCTGTCTCCTGATTTTCTGCTTTTGACCCTGGCTGTTTTAGCACATCCTTCTTGTGACTCATGTCGGTTGAAAATGTTGCTTGAAAAAGGGGGAATGGAGTTTCTGGACTTTTTTTCAAAAATATTAATACGTCTCTTAAAATAGCCTGGGTTATAAATATAACTAGGTTGAAGTTGACATATTTTGGTGACTGGTTCCACAATCCTGGGCAATTCCTAGTCAAGTTTCAGTTGTTATTTTCAGAAAAGTTTATGCAGATGTTTGGATTTTACCTAGCAGAAAATGCCTGTGTGCAAACCTTTGAAAATTGTTGGGACGTTTTCAAGACGGTATCCTCTGAATTCAGTGGCTGCTTCTGCTGGGTAAATTTATCTT